TCATGGAATACCTTGATGAAATATCAGTGGGAAAAAAAAAACATAAGAGTTGGAAAAAGAATAAAAAATCCCAGAAAAAATGAGAAAAAATAAGGAGGATTTATAGAATCAGGTCTTGGTCAGGAGGAATTAAATTCTAAGATTAGCTTAGTCATGGTGGATGATGAAATTAAGGTTAGGAATCAGGATGTTCAGGCTCAGCTCCTGACTCTATCACCTTGAATCATGGTAACCTTCCTGACAACTCACCACTGTTTCTTGGTCAACATCTCCTTAGGTGTAGAGCAGAGGTCTCAAACAATACAATGATGAACACTCCACTAAACCATTGAGACTGTGAGGGCAGAGGGAAAAGATGAACTAACAGTGATCAAATTCTCTTTGAAGTAGCCTGGGAAAGGGGTTGTTGAAACCTTCTCTCTCTAAGCTCCTAAAAAGTGGTGGCCAATGGAAGTCACCCTGCAAGGGAGCACAGGTCCACCATAGCTATGAGATAGCAGTAGTGCTATTATCAAGTAGTGTTAAATCTGTGTTTGCAGGAGTTAGTGGGCCTTCTCTTCCCTAGTGATAGGAAGATAGCAAGCATCCCCAGCAGAAAGGACAAGGTGGGACACAAACACACTGTTAGGAAGAAAATGTTCAGAAAATACTGAGTGAATGAGTAAATAAAAGTACAAATAAATCCATACTCCAGGTTTTATTCTTAAGGCTACACATGGAAAGTTATTCAGAATGGTACGTAGTTTCATAATGTAAATTTCTTTTCATCTTTTGTCACATATCTCTTAGATAGGGTCAAGTAAGAAGAGAAAATGTAGTAAATTTATCCCTAATATGTGGAAAGATCTATTTAAATCATATGTGATTAGTTTCTGGCTAGATTTCTTTCAATATATGTTATATATAAAAATTAGAGTTTGCTGTCTTTGGAAGTTCATGTGCTTGAGATTAATCGGATTCAGTTTAACCAGAATAACGCTACATAAGCAGCCTGAGGAAACTCTGCTGAAGTTTAGATGCAGTGATGCTTTCAAAAGTGAGAAAATGTGTCAGAAGGAAAGATTAATTCTGAAAGGTAAATTTTACCTAGAAAGAGTTTCTTTGAATTATTTCAGAAAACATCAACTTAGGAAATGAACAGAAGTAGTTTGGAATAGTAGGAAACTTGAAACTGTTAGCAGAACACCATTTAAAATCATCATTAAATAATGTTTATTGTGCCAAGAATAAGATTCAAAACTGAAAAGAAGAAAGAAAAAGAAAATGGGAAGGAGAAATAAAAGGAGAGAAAGAAAAATAAATGACATTGAAATCCAGCTCTCATGATATAGGCTTCTCCTAATGAAATCAGAGTATATCAGGAGAACTTTGCTGTGTGAAGGAGCTGAAATATCAAGTATGTGTGTAAGATAAAGAACAGGCCCAAGTGAAGATGTTAAAGTCAAGTTAAATAGGGGGTATCATTAGCTATCCTGTGCATACCCCGTGTCTAAACAGCTGGGATGACTAGATCAACACACTAAATAACATCAATTTCCTAAAGGTAGAGGGAAGAGAAAAGGGCACACCCCAGGGGACACTAAGTGACCTAGTAGGATTTCGCTTACTTCTCAAATAGAAAGCAGAGTTCCCTATCTGCTGTTGGTAAAGTGTTCTCATTTAGGGGTCAGTGTGCTGTTTCATGCAATGGTCTTGGCCTCTAGGTCGCCAGCATTTTTAACCTGGCCTCATCATGACCATGACTGCTGAGTCTTGGGAGATCAACTGAGGAGGAGAAATGGAAAAGAAACAGCTCCCTGACATCCTCTCCTCCCCTCCTCTTGAATTTAGATTCAAGGGAGCAGAACAGTTTGCCCAAATTGGGTAAACAGACCATTTAAATCCTTCAACACAAAGGTAAAGAATTTTATTGCCTGAATTACTCTAAAAACTTATAAAAACAACAATAACAACAACATCCTCATGAGTAAATAAAGCTAGTTTAATGAACACTATGTAATTCCAAATGAGAGTGCTCCCTCTAAGTACTGAATTAGGCAGAGGGTATATTAAAGGAAGAGGAAGAAGAGATAGAATTAAAATATTCAGGACACCAGTTATGTGATTATTTTTGGAACGTTACAGAATTTAAGAACATGGAAATTAAAGATTAGAGGAAAATCTAGTACAAGAATGAAATAATATGCATGCTGAAATGAAATACATTTTTCTAATATACAGCTAAAATATACCCTCAAGGAACAAGGGAAACCCGTTACTGATAAAAAAAAATAATATTATTCATTTCTAAAAAGAGATGAACCTTGAAGCCGTGAAAAGACACAGAACAGACTTAAATGTTTATTACTAAGTGCAAGAAGCCAGTCTGATATCTAAGACTTTCTAGAGAAGACTAACCTGTGGAGAAGGTTAAAGGATTTAATAAGGGATGTCAGGGGTTAGGGAAGCGGAAAGACACTTATCCACATCATCATGTGGATAAACAAATGCCATTATACATTGTTCAAATGCATACAATGTACAACACCAAGAGTGAACCCTAGGTGGACTCAGTGGCATACGCCTGTCATGCCAGGTACTCATGAGGCTGAAGCAGGAGGACCACTTAAAGGCAGAAGACCAGCCTGGGGTGAAGTTCCATCTCCAACCAAAAAGAGAGAAAAAGAATCAGGAAGAATGAGCCCTCAAGTAAACAATGGGCTCTGAGGGGTGATGACATGTCAAGGTGGGTTCAGGGACTGTGAACAAATATACTAGGGCACAGTGATCATAGGGGACACTTTTGCATGCATGGGAACAGGCAGTCTATGAAAGTCTGTGTCTTTCACTGTATTTTTCTGTAAATTTAAAACTGCTCCAAAAAAAAAATTAAGTCTATTTTTGTAAAAAGAAAGTGCAAAAAGATGTCTTTCCATAATTACATAGAAGGGGAAATTTTTGAACATTAGATAACTGACCTCTAGGTATCAAGTCTCATTTCAATTGTATTAGAAATGTGAAGTAAGAACATATGAGTTTGGGAGAAATAATAATTTTAGAATGTGGTCAAATGCTTGCTACGAGGGAAACGAAAAAGTCGCACTAATTTAATTAAAAGAAGCAAACAGGAATGACCTTTAGAAAATCTGACCAATATATAGTGCAGAGATTTCAAGGCTCTGGATTCCCCAGACTTAGGGAAATCAGCTCATATATTTGGCAGTGCCATCCGTTATTTCTGAAAATGCATGTCAGATACCAAGAGGTGCCAAAAGATGGGAGTGAGAGCAACATCTATTAAAGGAGAAGAGGGCAGGGCTGCCGATGATAGACAGCATCTAGATTTGGTGTCTCCTAAATTGATGAGACCAACACAGACAGGAAAATTTAAGAAAACCTTACGTGCACACTGAAAAAGCTAAAAAGAGGCAGGGCCAATTAAGTAGCTGAGGACTGGGATACGGAAAAACACCCAGAAGAAATGGGCCGTGGGAACTTGCACTGTAGTAAAGAACCGAAAAGAAGCTAGAGAACATCAAAGTGGGAGACACTGACTACCACTCTGTCTTCTATGAAAATGACTCTTGGGATTCAATCAGAACACTTCAATGATAGAAAGATGTCATTTTATTTTGTTTGAATGTGGAAACTCACTGGAAAATAAACATGACCTCCTTTCTGTACCACTGGTAGAAAATTAAAACAAAAAAAAATCAAATAATTTGAATTTTCAGTAAATTCTTAAGGAGGTAGAAGCTGAAGAATCTTTTTAAAAATGGGGAAATTTTAAAAAGGAATGTTAAAGATGTGAATTTCCTGCAGAATGTGTTATGTAACTAACAAACTGCGAGGGAGAGAGAAGCAATTATCACTTTAATTAATTAGGGCCCGGTTGTAGCTCCCTTGTGAAAGATAATCCTTGATTAAAAGTGTCAGTATGTAAAAATATTGACTGATATTGAAGTGTAAGAGTGTGAAATTTCAATTAATTGTAAAAAATTAGCTGGTATTATCATTTACCAATAGACACTAATGATTCTCAGGAGACCTGGGGTATACAAACAAATGGAGTTGACAATGGACATGTAAACAGGGGCAGAATTTGTCTGCTGATGGTTTAACCCTTAGAACAATTAGGTCCTTTAGTCTTCTGTTTGTGTGTCTGCAATGCAGAGGTTAGCATTAAGTAAGAGAGATTAATTTAGACAACAACAGAACTAATAAAGCTATATGAAATAGAAAGAGATTAAACAATAACATTTTACCCACACTTGGTGGTTTTCTATTCAACAGAAACATCCTATATATATGAGACTACTCGGCTCATCTCCATGCCCAGAAAGAGCTCCCAGGAGACCCTGAAGCCTGTCAAACTTTCAAATGTGAAGTCTGTAAAGTGGACTCTGTCAGGAGGTTTGTGGCCAAGACGGTGGTTTTAAACCTCACCTGAGACACATCCCTCCCAAACAAACTCTGCTTTTCCCAATTCCTTTCTCTGAACACTGAGGGAGAGTGACACTTACCTTCATTTCATTTAATTCCCTGTTTTTCCTTGACTTTATCAAAATTAAATATCAAACAATATAATGACATTAAACAGCTTCTCTTAAAGAAGCTGTTTGTGATAAGTAAAGTAAACCGATACCATTTAAAAACTGATTTTTAACATTAGATGTGGGTCTGATGCCCAAGTTACAAACTCACTCTAAAACTGAGACCCTGATATTTACTGTGAAAGAGCCCCAAAGTCCAGATTCCAGAAGCAAAATAAACAAACATCACTAAGACTGGGTGGGAGGGACAGGGGCAATATGTGTAAAGAATTGGCAATGACCCTAAATTTTGTCAACATGAGAAACAGTTTAGATGCCATTTCGTCTTTCTTTGGTCCTTGTTATTGTCACAGAAAATTATCTTGTTCAAAATTCTGAAATTTCCCTTTATATGGAAATATCTAGTCACACAAAATATCCATCCATGCTCCCTTTAAACTAAAGGCAAACTTGGGCCTCTTTGTTTACCTTTGAGTGACACCTATTCGCCAGAGACAAGAGAACTTCAACCTGCATCAGCCAGAACTCTCCTTTCCTTCAGCATCTCCGTACTCAGTACTAAGGACAAAAGAAAGAAAGAAAGAAAGAAAGAAAGAAAGAGGAAAAGTTCTAATATTTCGACTTACATGTGAAGACACAACTGCACACTCCACTGATAAAGTCTGGTAGAAAAGTAATTTTGAGGATAAAGCAAGAAAGCAGCAGACCTACCTGGGAAACATGCTTTGGCCCCAGGGTTGCTCTTTATCTTCTCCCTAAAATAAAACCAGAAGTCCTCAAAAGAATACAATTAAGTGCAATTTCTCTCTTTCCCTGTTTTCATGCTGGTTTTGGTAGAAACTTTTCCCACAGTCAACAGTGCTGAGGAAGGTACAAGTTCAACAACATGAAATTGTGTATGAAATTTATTTAATTTCTCCTATCGATCAAATTGTTCTGTGCTTAGCTTTTGTGAAAAGTGAGGGAAATTATCCTTCAGGTAATTCTTTAGCTCCACGTCTTGACCCTTGTAAAGAGTTCCTTAGTAGTTAATTAAATAATGAAGAAACAAGAAGCTTGCCTTCCTACAGAATTTCATCCTGTTTATTGGCATGCATGGATGGTGAGGTAGGAAAAAGCTTCTTTTCTTTTATTAAAACAGAAGAATCATCCTGATGATTAAGAGTAAACAATAACATCAGGAAAAGTTATTACAATGTTCTGATTCATAGAGGAGATTTGATATTATATCAATGTGTTATTCAGGTTAATCATGGTGCTCCAACATTTTGCAATACTAACAGCCAAATGCATCCCTTTTCACCTTTAATACAGTTGTCTCAGATACACTGTCCCTCCCCTATCTGAGGCTGAGAGAGAGAAGGAGGAAGAGGGCCAGATGCTCCATTCAACTAGGTCTCCCAGAAAATCTAGACAGAACGTTGTATAGAAGAGAACACAGAGGAGCTTCAAAGTCATGAAGATATTTATGATCTGAGAAGATGCACAAAGAAGAGGACTGTGAAAGAGAAAAGATGAATCAAGTCTTAGAAAAGAAAAGGGCATACTTATTTCTTAAGCGGTTAGGACTAAGAACATAAGGTATGCAGGTGGCATTGTGCTCCAGTCAAACAAATAGGTATGTAGGTTCCATAGAAAATGGAAGAGAAGCATCTTTATTTATGGCTGCCCTCCTGAACTGTGATTCATCACTGACACTAGAATCTGCCTAGGGAATCAAAGAGTCTCCGGCCACAACTCAGTACTCTCTCTCTCTGGGCCTTGGTGCACCTGGGGATGGAGAACCCACATGGAGCTGAGCTTTCTGTTTTCCTCCTCAATGCCCCTTAGCTTCCAATTTTTCATTCTACAATTATGTAAAATATGATTATCCACTTCACGATCATGTCAGGTGCTTGTTAAAAATCTAGATTCCTGGGAGTCATCTTCAACTTGCTGACTTATAATCTCTGCAAGAGCAATAAAGTATTTTAGCTACTTAACCTGTGAATTAATCTGTTTTTTAAAGACTTCTTAGAAGATAGTGAGGACTTCACTAATTCAAAATCTTGTCATTTAAACTACTATGAATATTGACTGTTAAGGAGAATCTTCATTCCTGTAAGATGTCACCATTCAAGGATATGTAGCAAGAGAGGTCTTGCTTTTATGAGCCAAATAAATACAGATAGCTTCAAAACATTGCCCTGTTGCCATGCTTTTATTATTTATTTTTATTTATCTGAAAGATTTAGGTCTTCAGTTTTGTTGTTGCTATTCCATTTTCCATGAGCTGGAAATCTGACCTTAAACTAGTATTTAACCCATGAAGAAGCTTATACCTTCTCTGATACAAAAAAAAGGGAAATATGAATACTAATGGAATTATAAACTGTGACAAAAATTGGGGAAAAGACAGTGAAATGTTAAAAAAAGTCAATTCTCCCTACTGCTGATACATTTAAATAAATAGTGCTATCATTTGTAAAACATGTGGCCTCTGCTTTCACTTGAGACCTCCTCTATATCCCTCACAACTTCTAGTTATTATCTGTTATCAGCACCAGATAAAATCATCTAAGTTGCCTAGAATTGGTATTTTGTGAATAATTTAGTTTAATCCAGGAATATGATTCACCCAAATCCCCAGAGCTCATTAAAATAAAAAAAGAAACTCACATTTTCACTTTCCAAAAGACTTCTTTGTATATTAAATGCCAGAAAGCTACATTATCATTATACCGATTATATATATATATATATATATATATATATATATATATATATTAGCAAGAATGCAGTTTATCATTGCTTTTTGATACAGTGAGCACACAAAGTTACATGAAAAAGAAGAAGGAGAAGAGGTGGAGAATAAAAAGAAATATTTTGACATATGTACCAATCATTATACTCGTATAGCTATTTATGAGTATTCCCTCCTGTGCAGTTGAAGAATGAAGAAATGGTGGGTGAGATCCATCAGGCAAATAGCTTTACTCAATTATGGCAGATCTTGAGAGAGTTATATCAGGGTTTATCCAAAACAGTCAAGAAACCCTGAAGTTTTTCCCAAGAAAATTACATCTTCAGATTTGCATTTTAGAAAGGTCACTCTAGCATTGAGAGACTAGATTGTACTAGAGAAAGACAGAAGGGCAGGAGACCAGTTAGAAACATATGGCTCTGGTAATAGTCCATGCGAGAGGTGCTAAAGGTCTGAAAAGACGTGCCGATGGAGTGGAGGGGATAGATCCTATAGAGATCTCAGGGATAGACTTACTGGATTGGAGGAATATAGACTTTGGTGTGAGGAAGAATGAAAAGCTGTTGGTAGTACATCTGCCTCATTTCCAGTTCATTATATCTTTAGTAATTAAAAATAATGTGAAATTGAAATTAGAGTTCATATTGTTCATATAATCATAGAAAAAATAAAGCTTCCAAATATTTCCCGCAAGAAAAATGGTTTCCATTCTAAAGAGAGAAGACTTCCATTTTGAAGTCTTAAAGACTGAAACATATAGAATATTCTATTGGGTTCTCTAAAAGATATCTCAGTGGAATCTCTTATTTCTCCCATAGACACATTTTCACAATGTTAGGTATAAAAGGATACAAATATCCCTCCCTTTGCAATAATTGTCTAGAATGCTGCACAGTACATAACACTAAACAATGCAAAAACAAATACTTCATTGTAATCTCCTTGCTTCAATTATATTAATTAAAAATCTTTCTTACTTATGTCCATTTCAAATTGTAATTGAAATTGGAATCCGCACCCCCCCACCCGGCAACCCCCGACACACACAAAGCTTTAAAAATAATGTCCTTATCCTGTCCAAATCAGTGTGCTTCCTGTTACTGAACACCAGAGGGCATCAGTCAGCGAAAGCTTTACTGTAGGGGGAAGGGGTGGGGTGAGAAAGAATTCCATTACTAATGAAAGAAACTGGTTTTTTAGTGTATACCCTTATCTACCATGAAACATTACCATGGTAACAGCACCAGTTAAGATGATTGTATATTTAGGTCATAGTATAAAAGGAGCTTGAACATGTGAATAACGAAAGAAGAAAATGAAATAAAGTAAGACAAAAATATATAAGGAGTAGAAGGAGGCAAACGAACTGGAACCCACCTCATCTTTTGTTAGTAGCAATTCACAAAGTCATGTTATGCCTTTCAAAGTAAAGGTGGACAAGAATGTATAATTAAAAGTAAATGAAGCCACTGAAGTTCAGAACTTTAAATGCCCCCAAAAGAAAGAGATGCTCATTCAGCATGGCCAAATGAAGAGGCAGTAGACTGGAAGCTGGCATGTGGGTGTTCTTGCCAAGCTCTTGGTTAGCTGTGTCACCTTGGGAAACTCTATTTGTCCACTTCAACACTTGTCATGAGTTCGACTGGATGATACCAAAATCCCTCTTTTTTTTTTTTTGCTTCAGACAAAACAAAATCCATTTAGTAATATCTCAGTATAGCTGAGAAGTGGAAATGGCATCTGCCAAAATGTCAGGTAATTTGGGTGCCTTTGTTTTCCCCTGCCGGAGGCAATCACTGACTAAATAGAATAAGCATGTTGTGCCAACTAAGAATCTTGTTGGCACTGAATCTTCTTTGCTTAGGGTTTAGGGGATCCAACAAGAACATGCAAAGTTGAATTAAACAGATGGGTAGAACGTCATTGAACTCTGAATACAACAGTTTGCATTCCCTAAACATAGGGAGAAACAAATGATACAGCTATGTATAGACAACCAATCAGCACAGTACAGGAGTGAAGACTGGAGTCTGACAGGCTTGCGTTTGCATGCAGGGGCTGCATCATACAGGCTGTATGATCTAGGACCCTTTGAATGCTGGTTTCCTCTCCTACAAAACCAGAAAAATAGCAGCTGCTTCATATTTTGTTGCAATGATGAAATGAGAAAAATCAAATAATCTATTTACTCAGTGAACAAAGATAAAATAAGTCCCTAGGATGTGCCTGGCACTATCTTAAGTTGTGAAGATAAAGAAATATAGAGCACTAACAAAACACATAATATAATACGTGTAAGCTGATTGGGATGGTACCAGAGACTTATGACATACTCTGAAGATACCTGCCCAATGAAAGATGACCTGTTTCCCATCCCCCCATAAAACAAACACCACCAAAACCACAACACAACCCAGTTAAGCTTGGGAATGCAGAGAAGCTTGGGGATGTAGTCCTCACACTTGAATTGATGATCCTTAATGAAAGGAGTCCTAACATTTTCTCAGTGAGCCAAAGGGAAACAGAATGGGAACAGATGATAGGAAACAAAAGCCAGTTGTTAATAGCCACAAGGAAGATATTGACAGTGTTCAACACAAGGAGGCGTGTGACAGAGACCCCACATCATAAAATAATGGATCAACTCCAGTATCAGTTTCAATGAAGAAGATCAGCCCTTCAAGCAAACCGTGTAATAAAATGTTTATCTATCTCTATGTTGCTGAGTAAAAGGAAGAAATTTTAAGATTAAGTATGGGGGAGCTGGGGTTGTGGCTCAGAGGAAGAGCGCTTGTCTAACATGTGTGAGGCATTGGGCTAGATCCTCAGCACCACATAAAGTAAAATAAAGACATTGTTTCCACCTATAACTAAAAAATAAATATTAAAACAATGGGTCTTCACACAATAACCTAAAGAAGGCCAACATAGGGACAGAAGATGATCCCTGCACTGTGAAAAAACAGCACACACCCCCACAGATTCTTGCTCTCCTTCCCCCATTTCCCGTTTGTTCCCTCCTCTTTTCTCTTTCATTCTATTCTGTATTCTCTTCTTCCTCCTCCTTTGTACTTGTTTTAACTTTATTCATTGCCAAGGGTCAGAGGGTGACTTCTAATTAGCCAGCTTATTCTCCACTGATGGTTGTGCCATTTATACCTTCCATGTCTTCCCTCTCCGCCAGCAGGCTGGTGACTGTGCTATTTTCTTCCTACCTTTGAAACTGCCCATCCATTCCTCTTGTGCCCTTGGTCCTGGGGGCTGGCTGCTGAGGATTGGAATTGGGAAACTGCCTAGTGGACATATATACAGCTGTCTGACTTTGGGGATTGTCTGGAAGATGCCAACATCACATTTAGAGCAATGTAGTCTGTTGGTTGTTGGTGGGGGGGTTTGGGTGTTTTTTTGTTTTTTTTTCTTTTTTTCCTGGGGATTGAACAGGGCCTTGTGCATGCAATGCAATCACTTTACCAACTGAGCTATATCCCCAGCCTGTTGTTGTTTTTAATGTAATGATAGCCATCTCTGTCTTCCCAAATTGAGAGAATCTGGGAAATCATTCCAAAAGGAATTTTACCTGGGTTTGAACTGCTGGTTTCTTCCACATCTGTCTCTGAAGTCAGTTAAGAGCTGCAAACATGTTCTTTGAGTTTGCTTGTACTTGAACTATGATAGGGATATTCAAATCCACTTACTTTCTCATTCCATTTCCCCTCCAGGCACCCTCAGGCACACGTATATAAACAAACATTGCCTTTTGCTTTTATCAGAAGACAAAGCATCTGTCAGGCATTCTACTCTGAATTTTGAGTCCTAGGACTTTCAACCAAGCCCAGCTCACCTCATTCACAGAGCTTTCAAACAAACCAACCTGGCTGGAGTCCCTATATCTTTTAAGGATAAGTCTTATTTTTAAGCGTAGTTGGAACTGTTATTTAGTACAGTAAAGCAAACAGAGTAAATGGGAAGCTGCTTATCTTTCATATTTCCACAACTGAAGCACCTCTATTAATAATCTTAATAATAATAGAAAACTATTATGGCATTAGCGTTACTTCTTGAGACCTTAACTGCCCAGCCTGCAAAGCTGCGATATTGCTGGCACAGAATTTTACCATCCATTTGACCAGAGTCTCAAAAGTCCACTCTCTGAATTGCAGCCTAATGGAGTTCCCAGCATGAAACTGTTTCTTGGCCAAATCAAGCGGTTTTACTTCTACAATCATCAGTGCCTTGGTTATCATCCCCCAACAATGATGATACACATATGCCTAATGCCTAATTGTTACTGGTTTGTACTGGTTCCTAGTATCATCATCCCTATTATTTACTTAAAAATGAAAATTCTTATTTTATACACACACGCACACCTTCTACCATATCCTTATCATGACTGTTTATACACATATCCCCATTAAAAGCAAAGTACAATGTGAAGGGCTTCGCCTTACAATCCGGAATTAGTTAACCTGGAGTTTATGACCTGCTTTATTTTTAGAGCTTCTTCAATCCAGGGACACAGGATTGCAAAGAGTGAAGAGAGGTTCTGGCGCACCCCAGCACTAGGTCATTGGACTTCCCTGGGCAGGCTAGAGTAAGGATGCTGCCCCGTCCGGTGGCCTTCTGTGGGGACAACCAGTGGCCTGTGCAGTAGGGACAGAGGCCTGAGGTACAGCAGCCTCTGGAGCACTCAAAGCTCTACATAGGGGAAGCGCAGAGTCGTTCCTCCCAGAGCCTCCCCCTCCACACTCCCCATCCAAATATAGTTTTACTGCAGGCCTTTCTAGTCGTTCCAGAGTTACTTCTGGAGTCAGCTGGCTCCCCTCTGCTGTGCGGGTCCCCTCCCCATGCCGGTGCCCTGGCCACAGATGCCCCGGGCTGTCCAGACTGTGCACAGAGCGCTGGTGTGTATGAGACAAAGCGTGGGGATGGGGACGTGTGCTTTTGTCTCTGGTTGAGTGTACTAGGGGACAGACACACCACAAGCCTGCCAAAGTACTCTTAGACACCCAATGCTAAGAAAAAAGCAAGAAAAACAAAACAAAACAAAAGGAAAAGAAAAGAAAGAAAAAAAAAACAGAAGGTAATGGAAAAAGAAAGTCAATGTGGGGGGATTCCATTTCAAGCTTGAGGACCGGGAGGCGCCACTCTCTGGCAGGGCTCGCCGCTCCTGGGCGGGCACTTGGAGCCCTGGATAGCTGCAGTCACAAACATGCCATGGCTGTGAACTGACATAAGGACACAAGAGGGCGGCTTGGGTGACATGTCAGCGGGCAGTTCTATTTGCCTTAAGCGTTTACCTCCATTTTTTTGCTCTCCTCCCTCCTCTCAAGCGATTCTCTCCGCGGATATTTCCATATATGCAAGAGTCTTGGAATCACAGACAGGGACTGGCGGGTCGGTCGACCCTCCCTTGGATGATTTGATGGCTCAGAGCAGCCTCGAGGACAGCTACTTGCAGGAAGTAGAGAAAGGTTTGCGGTGCTGAAGGAGCACGGAAGCTCGGGGTGTGTGCCCACTCTGAGTCAATAACTTGGGTGAATTTCACTACAGGAGCTCTCTGCTAGGCAAACCTCCACCTACTCCACGGGGGTCACACCAGGGGCGCGGGGCAGAGAGCACAGGTGGAATTTCTACGTGTTCTACGCGCCACTGCGCTTGGACCGTCCGCACCTCGCGGGTTCCGAAAGCTACAAGTTAGCGGGGATTGCCCAGGTCCAGCGAGGAACATTCAGGGCACGCAGCTTCCTGTCTACGACCTCATGGCCCTGTCGGCTGATCCAGTCCCCACCGCGAGTTGGGTGGCAAAGCCCAGGCACTATCTTGCACCTCACCAGTTCGGAGCTGGGACCCTGTCTTACAGTGGCGGCGGGCCGCCAACCTTGTGCGCCTGTCACAAATTGGATTGGGTGGCTGAACGCTTCCTTCTCTTTTGTCCTGGAAACCGTGCCCCATTCTTATTCACCTGCCCCTTTGCCTTGATACACCGGGACCGCAATGCCAACCCTCTCTCCTGCGCTGAAGGGGCTGCTCCGAAGGCGGAGTCAGGGACAACACCGAGAGAAGAGCAGCAGGGCCTCCACCCTAACGCACAGACGACGTGGTCAGACCCCGAGCAGAAAGGAGCTTGAGGGCGGAAGAAGCAAAGCTCTCCTAGTCTTTTCCATGAAGGCATCTGGGCTGAGGGGTTGACTGGGAGAAGGTTCAGTGACAGTGGAGAGAATGACATGCTCTAAGGAGTGATGCTGCGGGGCAGCGCGTCTCCCACGCTGCTTTCGCCACATTCCTCCGGTCTCCGTGACCCGCGTAATCGCGCCCGCACCCTGCGCTGTGCCTCATTTCCCCCTTCTTTCTAGACCGACCATCGCTGCCCTCATAACTCCAAGCCTCAGGGGCTAAAGTTTCCTTTGGAAAATATGCAAGTGTCAGGGACCCCCCTCCGTTTCTCCGAAAACCGCGACCTCTCAGTGTACAGGGTAGGGAGATTGGGAGGAAACCCCTGGCACCAGGGTCCCTGGTGTGGGCAAGCGGAGAATTGGGTAGCAGGGCGCTCTTACCTGCTGTTGGTTTAGCTCCTGTGGTCACCCCTGGCTGCGATTTGGCTAGCTGGAGCGAGGAACCCTTCGCGGGTTCTGGGTCGGCCACTCCGGCGCGAGCTGCGCACCGCTTAGAGTCCAAAGCCAGCCTCCGCCTTGCTTTCTCCCTTGATCTTGAAAGAGAAAAGGCAAAGATTAGTTGGCGCCGCGACACTGGAGGGGTGGGGCGGGGGAGGCGGGGAGACTACGGACCCAAAGGCTCTGGCAGGAGCTGCGGGGCTTGCGCGCGCGCGCAAGCACAGTCGCGCACCCCACACCGGTCCCAGTCACTTGGACACTGTGGGACAGGTTCGCGATTTAGACTGGAGTTAAATTGATGCTGCCCCCACCCTCCACACCAAACCACCAAAAAAGAAGCAAATGAGACTTTCAAACCTGGACTTCACGAAGATAAGTCTGGAGACCAAAATAGAACCGAGACCTGGATGTGCCGGCGGGCTGGGCGGGATTCATTTCTTCACTAAAGTGCCTGGGGAAGTAGTAATTAGTGTGGGGAGAGCAACACTTATTCCAATCCCTCTGGCGAGTTCCTAGTGGAATCTGAGACTCCAAGGCTCTGGCCAACCCCGCAAGCTGGTGTGTGTGTGTGTGTGTGTGTGTGTGTGCGCGCGCGCGCGCGCTCACTGTAGTAGGTCTCTGTGCCTGGCTGTCTTCGGCTTGGGTACAGCAGGAGCGTGTCTGTATTCATGTGTTTGTGTTCGATTAGCTGCAATGGACGGACAATTTCTGGAGAGAACATTTACAATTTGCTTTCAATATGACAGGATTAGTTGCCGTTGACGGAGCTCCTCCAATGAAATCTTCTCTGCTCTCTGATTTGGCGGTTCTTCCAAGCAAATATGACAGCCTTTTCTCCAGGCTCTTTTCTGCTTCTTTCCATGTCCATCCCCAGAGCCCCGCTCTCCATCTGCAATTTCTACATCAGAACCTTTGCAATCACCATCACCACTCCCAAGTCCCATTCCAGCAAGTGTCTGACTTTGCTACAAAGGTGACATGGCATTTTGGGACGAATGCAGTGTTGCTTGTTGATTACAGAAGATACTTAAGCCCAGTTTTTCCAGGTGGGGAAATGTTAGAATAAATGTACTGTACTTTGTAGTAAATATATAATCATGCTGACTTAGATTGTTATTTCTTTGGGACATTGGTAAATGCTTCCCCCCCCCCCTTTTTTTCATTTAATGAGAAGTAGCCTACAAAATGTGTAAGATGCTTTGGTGAATTTATGATGTCCATGAAAAAAAATAGTATGCAAACTTTTTTTGTATTAGGACTAGCCTTAGGTTTTTATTTATTTTAATGAGAAGTTCCTTCCAGAAATTTTACCCATTATCTTTAGTTACTAACCAAACTGATAAAGGTACAATGATATGATTTTTCTAAAGTATAGCTGAGAGCAAGTCTTGCTTTTGTGAAAATATTTTGTATATGAAGTTAATATTAATACATGATGTGTCATGTAGTTTGCATTTTCTCTCATTCAACTTAAATTAAATGAAAAGTGGTTGAAACCTTAAATTGAATAACACAGACAGGGACACATCACCTTTCAGATCACAAAAACAGACAAAGAGCAATTAATGATTTAACATATTACAATTGAATTCAGTTTAATTATTGATGTCCATGTTTTGCTGGGTGTTAAAGGGCACAGAATAGTGGTAGCCACTGTTCTTGTTTTCTAGACGCTTCTAATCTTATCAGTGAGAGAAGACATGCATATGAAACACCTACATAGATGGAGTTATACAGTAATACAGATTCAATGATTCATGGAAATTCTACACTAAAATGTTTGGCTCTTTCTGTTAACTCATGGCTATCACCCAAGAATCTGACAGACTCTTGATTTTGCTTAGTTAATGCTATCCTGAAATAAAATATCACGTTATACCTACTATCAATGTCCACACTCATATCCTACCATAACAGGAAGATGTTAAGAGCCATGTGAAAAAGTAAGGACAACTCTGATCAATCTTATCCCCAGCCTCTCCCAGTGCAGGTCCACAGCATAATCTGATTGTGTCACACACACACACACACACACACACACACACACACACACTTGATTCACTTTTGAAAATAAATCCATGATTTCACTTCTTATTCCACTGTTTCTATTTACTAAGCCTCCATAAACCTATGTCGTTGCCTGAATCTGAACACACACACACACACACACACACACACACACATCCCAAAGCAAAATCAAAACAAAAGGAACTGATTCCTGATCAGTAAATAGAGAGGAAAATCCAGTGATTTGTTGCTATTATGTTCTTTCTCATCATTAATGCCATATTACTAACAGGTGGTACCTATTCCAAAAAATTAATAGCCAATGAAGGCTAATAAATATGTTCCTAGCTGAAGTACAATGTTCAATAGAAGTGACTATACCTAAGGTCTTTGGGGAAGCACTGCAGACTGAATCATCAATACTGCTCATTTTCTTCTCCTACATCCTCATTAAGAACAATTTTACTTTACATACTTGGATCCCTGCCACTTACTGCATGATTTTGGAAAAATCATTTAACTGCTTGGTACCTCAGTTACTTAACCTGTAAAATGGATACAGTGATATCTGTATGGTTTTATAAATGATGATAATATAATTAATTCACATGAAGTTCTCAGCAGAGTGCCTGGCAAAGAACAAATTAGTTCTAAAATGTCAGGCAATTGAGGATGTGGCTCAGTGATAGAGTGTTTCTATCCCTAGCTCAACACACACACACACACACACACACATACACACGAAAATGTGTGAAAAACATTTATTGCTGCTGAGTCTAAAATATTTAAAATACGAAGCTCTTTTTTCAAACAGGGGTTTAAGATTTTAAAATAAAGCTATCTGGGTCATGGTCATGATCTACTGACACAAAGTATTTAGTAGTGAGTCATGCCCCTGGAACCATGCCACTCATTAACATCATGAACTAGGTGTGTTAAACATAATTCATCACAACTTGACTCCAGGGAGCCCCATTCTTTTTCTTTCTGGTTTCTTCCTATACAAGAAATAATAATAATCATGCATGTTCTGGAACATTTTATATTCATATCTTAAGCAACTTTAGTTTCTGAGATAAAAGAGTTCTCCTTCACCCTAGGAATATAGCATTTACATTTATTAGTAACTCTCAGTGTGGAACATTTTCAAAAGTGCTTTTTAAAGATTTTGTAGAATGCATCTATGGGTTTTCCTTTATCTACATGCCTATTTTCCATCTCAAAGAACTCTAATAAATTAGTAATTTCCACTTGTGAAGCCTAACTTCATTACCCACCTTCTCACAACACCCATTTTAGGCTTGCACTTAAGATGCCTGTAAGGGATGACTTTGAATCTCTGACAAAGTTTACTTTTGAACAAGACTGTAAATAAGGTCACCACTAACATGAAAAGAACGAGACCAATGGGTCTTATTCCTGGGAATGTGGCACACATTTTCTTGTGCCAAGTTGATTTCGGTGCCGCAATAATTAGGCTTCGGTAATTAGATGTACAAATCAGCGCTCTATCATCTTAAAAGGATTAAGAGGGTGACAAGTTCAACTCCAGTGCTTTCCCACCAGGTATGGCAGGGATGGCTTTTTTGTTTTTCTATTTTCAAGGAACTAAGAAATGAAGGTGACGGCTAGATGGGGAAAATGAGACTAGAGTAGGAGATCTTGCCTTGTCCTTCATCTCCCACTCTCACAAACTGTTTAAGAGTTGAACCAGGGAAACACAGGATTTATCAGCAGGAGGTTTGGCAAAGGCAGCCTGATTTATCTGACGCATGCCAAAAGGACCTTTCATTTCCTTGACCTCGGTTTGAAATAAAACTATCTTGGGTTAAAAGTGGATCTCCACTAGATGACAATCACCACTTAAACTGGGTTCTGCAGTATCCCTCCTTGTTTTTTGAAATCTTAATAACAGCCGCATAATAGACATGCCATTCTTCTTAGAGTTATTTATTTTCCCTATAAACCTTCCCGGGGAATAATCTAAAAGCTTCTATTCTTTAGCTAGAAAAGATGATCTCTCTCTCTCTCTTTTTTTCCCTAGAAAATCCTAAGCTTTTCTTTTTCAGACCCTGCAATAGAGATTTTCATTTACAAATGGGACTGATTCTGAGTGACAATGTTTAGTGACAGTCTGACAAACAATGCTTTGCTGTTTTTTTTTTTCTTTTCCTTTTTCTTGAAGTTTGGCATCACAGATGTTTTAAACTCTTCCTGTCTTAGCAGTAGTACTGTTATCCAAAGCCTGAAAACATTAATTGCTGCTGAGTCTAAAATATTTAAAATACGAAGCTCTTTTTTTCAAACAGGGAATATTGGGAAGGGAGAAAAGGACAGGGGAGCAGGGGTACCACCCTGCAAAATATGAAGCAGTTGCAGTGGTCATAAATCGGTGTTAAGACTACAAAAAAGGAAAGGCTTCAAGGTATGCAGATTTTCTTAGAGAAGCATTGAATGTGGATGAGTTTCCCCTACCATGAGGTAAAGCTCAGGTCTCCTTCTGAGGTAAAGCCCTAAGATAGGGTGAACTGAAAAGTTCCAACATCTATGTCTGGGTATATTTTCACAGACGGCTTAAATTTCCCCTTTTCACAATCTCAGTTAGATGCTGGAATCCCAGATGGAGATAACGTTCTAGCAAGTTCAAAGTGAAGGTCCTATCAGACTCTTTTATATGCATGAGCCTCCAAATTATTTGATTTAGTACTTCTTTGTGCAAGAAGGAGTCATCCAGGAATACTTAAAATCTTAGTCTGTAGGGAAACCTGCTTTACTTGGAGTTGAGAGTGAACTAATCACTCATGAGAATTCCTGTAATGTCTTAGATCATATAGCACACTAGTTAGTTTTAAAATGGCTATGCCAAAGAATGTGTCCTGTGAGCCATCATAGTACATGACAGCGTTCTTACTAAATGTGATCCAATCCCCTATTTATTGAAAGTGACTGTGATCATTGTGATACAGAAAGTACCATTTTGCCAAGTAAGACTCAACTGAGGGTGACTGCTAATATCAATTCATATAGATTGTTTCACTTTTAAAACAGACTCTTTCCTCTAATCATGCCAAAGGAAGTGGCCTCTAAAGAATTCGCTGATTTACTGTGCCTAATAAGACACAGCCTGGACATTCTGTTCTTTCTTCCTCATTTAATCAGCAAGGTGACTAGGTGTTGGGCTTAAGGACCTCATTTACAAAACCTCAAAGGCAGTAGTCTATGTATCATCACAGAAGGGGACAAAGCCAGGTCCTAGTCACAATTAAAATATGCGTGCCATTCCTACAAGGCTTTTATTGACAAATATTTTCTTAGACAGTGAGTTCATTTTAAAAGGTTGCAACAAAAGCTTGCATTGGTAATCATTAAATGCTTTCAATAGCAACTGAAAAACCTATCCTTAGGGCTCCACAGATGATGTAATGCACTCTCCTTTCATTGATGCCAGGATATCGGGTAGACAGTTTCTCTTGCTGGATGGTAGCACTCTGAAAGTACTTCTTTCCTGAACAACTCTTGGTGTCAATAAGCAGCCATTGCTTTACTTTCCTGTACTTGTGGCATGAATTGCAAAGTGAGGTTCTGAGAATACCAGTTCCAGTCTCTGAGAATGAGTATTTCTAAGGAGCCTACCCTAAATCTGAAGCATTGGGATTAGTTTAACAGATATTTATACACTGCTTAATATTCT